GTGGCCGAGTTCCGGCCTAACTCGGCCACGTGAGGCGCGGGCGGGGGCGCTGACGGGGCCGCGGGCCCCAGTGGCTGGCTGCCCTCCCCCCTCCCCCCCCCCTTGTTTCTTTTCGCGGGGGGCTCGGGGGGATGGCCGTTGGGGGGCCGGCGCGCTGGTGGGAGGGCGCCACCGCCCGCGCCGCGCGTGGACGAGTTCCGGCCGAACTCGGCCACGCGGGGCGCGGACGGGAGCGCTGACGGGGCCGCGGGCCCCAGGGGAAGGCCGCCCACCCCCACCTCCCCTTCCTTTTCCTCTCCTCGTTGGGGGCTCGGGGGGGGTGCCGCTGGGGTGCCGGCGCGCGGGGGGGAGGGCGCCGCCGCCCGTCCGGCGCGTGGCCGAGTTCCGGCCGAACTCGGCCACGCGGGGCGCGGACGTTAGCGCCCCGACGGTGCCGCAGAGGATGGTCGCCTCCTCCCCCCCGCCCCTCCCCCCCGCGCTTCCCTTCGCAGGGGGGGCCCGTGGTGGGAGATGGTGCTGTGGGAGGGGGCCGCCCCCCTCGCGGCCACACGGACCCGCGGCTGAGGCGTTGTGGGGGGACCGGACGCGCCCATCCCGCGCCCCCGGCTCCCCAAGGCGCGGGAGCCGAAGGCCCAGGGGGCGGATGTTGTCCCGCGCCGGGGAGTCGCCCAGCCCCTCGGGGAACCCCCCGGGGGCCGTCCAGAATAACATAGTTCGAAACATAGTCCCCCTCCTCCCTCCTCCCTCCTCCCTCCTCCTCCTCCCCTCCCCCCCTCTCCTCCTCCTCCCTCCTCCTCCTCCTCCTCCTCCTCCTTCTCCTCCTCCTGTTGCTGCTGCTCTTCCTCCTCCTCTCCGCCTCGTCCTCCTTCCCTCCTTCATCCTCCCTCCTCCCTCCTTCTCCCTGTTCATCCCTCCTCCGCCTCCTCCCTCCTCCTCTTCTCCTCTTCTCCTCCTCCTCCTCCTCCTTCCCCCCCTTTTCCTCCTCCTCCTCCTACTCCTCCTCCTCCTCCTCCTCCTCCTCCTCCCCTCCTCCTTCTCCCTCGTCCTCCTCCGGAGGGCGACGAGGCAACGATGAGCGCCGAGGAGAAGGGATGTGGAGGGAGGAGGAGAGGGGGAGGAGAAAGATGTGGAGGGACGAAGAACAAGCAGACAGACAGACGAGGGAGGAGGAGGAGGTGGAGAAGGAGGAGGAGGAGGAGGAGGAGGAGGAGGAGGAGGAAAAGGGAGGAGGAGGAGGAGGAGGGAGGAGGAGGAGGTGGGAGGAGGAAGCAGGAGGAGGAGGACTGGCAAGAGAATGGGGGACGTTAAGGGCGCAACGGGGAATCAGGGGGGGCGTAGGACGAGGAGGAGGAGGAGGAGGAGGAGGAGGAAGAGGAGGAGGAGGAGGGGGAGGAGGCGTAGGACGAGGAGGAGGAGGAGCAGCAGGAGGAGGAGGAGTAAGAGGAGGAGACGTAGGAGGAGGAGCTTGGTACGTTGGAAGGAGGAGAAGGATGAGAAGGAGGAGGAGACGAAGGGGGCGCGAAGCGCATGATTGAATTCAAACTGGAGCGCAATGAGCTAAGCGCTGGGCACAAACAACAACAAACAAACGCTATGGGGAAGCAGACATAGCGCAACGACATAGACACACGTGGCTTACCAAAACATGTAAAAATGTATTCGCAGTGCGATTTTGTTTGTACATTGTCAAAATACAGGACTTAGAGTGGTTGAAGATAGGGGGAAGTTAGGGGATCGAGTGGTTTATGATAGGGGGAAGTTAATTTTCAAAGAAGCAAACACAGCAATGAAAAGCTATCTTCCACAACTTCAACCTAACTTCCACCGTTTCAACAGAACTACCAGCACTTAGTTGTGCACATCTCAGCAAGACCTGGGACTTCGACGACTCCGCGGCGCGGGACGTCCCCGAGCTGCAGCGCGCGACGAAGTACTTCGAGGAGTGGCGCGCGGCCAGGGGCGCCAAGGCGTGGACCTTCGACTGCAGTCACCTGGCCATGGAGGTCCGCCACGCGGCAGAGTCCCTGGGCGTCGAGGATCTGCTGCCGTACCCCATCAGACACAGGGGCCTCGTGGGACGTCGCTGTCAAGCGCAGGGGCTTCAACGAAGTGCAGAAGAGGGGCCGCTGGAGGTCTCGCCGCAGCGTCGCCCGCTGCGAGGAGGCTCGAGCTTCGCCCAGAGGTGCGAAGAAATATGCAGTGGTGCGAGATAAACCTCGAGCAGGTGATCAACGGCGCCAAGGTCGGGCCATGGTGATGCTCGATCTCTTTGCTGGAGCCACCAGGGCGTCGACAGCCTTCGCTGTTCTCAGCCAGCAGGCGCGCGCCTGCGACATCAAAGACGGCCCGACCTTTGGCGTCACCAACCCACATGTGATCGGCAGGCTGCTCTGAGAGAGCCGGCTTGCCCATTTTGATTGTGCGGTGATGGCGCCACCTTGCCTTGCGCGGCCTTCGGCGCAGCGCGCCACCCGGCCTTGAGGTCCGCCAGTCGCGGGGCATCCCTGAAGCCATTGATCGCCTTCAGCTGCTGGCGGCTAACTCTGCGGCGCGGGCTACGCTGATAATAATTCGTCTCTGTCGGGCACGCCGGATCCCCTTCGCCCTGGAGAATCCTCGGACTAGTACGTTTTGAAGCTGCCAGAGATCTCACATCTGACATCGCGGAGAGATGCTGCCATGATCTTCACTGACATGTGCCGATGGGGGGCTGCCCAGGAAAAACCCACGTCCGTCGGGTTTGCCTTTTTCGACAAAAACTTGGTGAATATTGGTGCCCGTCTTCGTCATCCTCGAGGTAGTGTCTGTAGCCGGACTGGGAAGGCCCATGTTGGGCCCTCTGGCAAGGCCCCTGGAGGCCCACGGAGGACGTTGATCGCCCAGGCATATCCCAAGAAGTTCGCTCTCTTCCTGGCATCCGTATTTCATGATCAATTCCAACATAATCGCTCACGCAGGCCACATGACTTGGGTATGTGTGGAGCTGGCCAGCCTGGCGATCGACTCAGTCTTTTACGCGCTGGTCCTTTCCGGCGCGTTGCTACCCGTCGTCAAACAGGAGGATGTCCTGCCCCAGTTGGAAACATATCACGTCTGCGCGCGAGAATGATTGGTTCCCATCGAGCTGGCGCACATAACAGAAGGACTCTGGCATGGCCATGCGTCCGCAAACGAGGTTGCTCAAATTCGTTTTGCACCCACTGTCCGTCCCCAGCCGCCCCCAGCTTGTTTTTTGTTACGGCTTCGCTTGCTCAGTACACTTTAATATCATAATTCCCCACTGGCGTGGGTGGAGTTGGCCAGCCTGGCGATTGACTCCGTCTTTTACACGCTGGTCCTGTTCGGCGTGTTGTTGCCCGTCGTCAAACAGAAGGATGTCCTGCCCCAGCTGAACAAAAAAGACATAGCACTTTACTTGTATCACATGCAGAACTAAACAACTGGCACAAGTACAACCTTTCGGATATCCGCGCCGATCCAAGAAATCCGCGCAGACCTCCGAAACCATATCTTCACGTGTTCTCCTGGGTACTTTCCCATGTTTCCATGTTGTCCTGTTGGTCCGCGCGGACCTCATATGCGAGGGCCTGCAGGTATACTCCAGAGCTGTTGGAACGCATTCTGGGCCATCCGCACAATGACTTGATTTTCGTCCCCGATTACATAGCACTTCGGGTTCGCTGGTTTGGATTTCTTCTCCAGTCAGACCCAGAAGGGCGATTGAGATTGCAAGGAGGAGAACAACCAGGCGGATGGAACGCCCGGGATTGCTCATGTAGCGTTTGCGCCGCCCTTCCTGCCCATCCCCTCATCGTATTCCTGCTGGCACCTCTCTTCAGAGCGCTTGGTGCAGCAGCTGTCGTAAGTTGTGGTGGGCTGTCGATTTTGGTTTGCCCACGCTTGGCGCTGGGACAACTGGGATCCTGGCGAACTGCTTTGTTCATCATTCCATCCCACCGTGTCGTACTTGCTGCTTTCACTCTACCCATCCGACATAGTCACGTCACGCGTGGAGGTGCATCTCGTATAATGACATATGTTGCTCAATTGCTGATTCCATCTGAAGGTCGCAACCCAACTCTACTGGCGATATTTCGTTCGTACCTTCCTTGCACGCACATGCAGGGCTCACGGTTCCGCAGAATCTGCAAGCTTTCGGTGTTTTGCGAAGGCCTTACGGCCGGCGCCGCCGACTCTGAAGGGGAACGACGACAACGGCGGCGGCGGTGGCGACGACGACGACGCTGACGTGGGTCAGAGTCCTCATGGATTCTTCTTGGGGTCTCTTCGAAGCGCTCTCGGGGGCCTCTGGGGGATAAGTTTAGGGGCCTCTTGGGAGCCTCTTGGCGGCCTCTTGGGAGCCTCTTGGGGGCCTCTCGGGGCTTCCTGGGGGCCTCTTGGGGTCCTCTTCGGGCCTCTTGGGGGCCTTTTGGGGGCCTCTTGGTTCCTCCTGGGAGCCTCTCGGGGCCGAGGGCTTGAAATGTGGAGAATTCTTGGGGCTTTCTTTGGACTTTCAGGACCGCGCGGGGGTTTAGGACCGCGCGGGAACCGCGCGAGGGTTTCGGAATGGGGGGGGGAGCGGGACCTCCCCTGGACCCCCCCGGCCCGGACTCCCCCTTGGACCCCCCCATTGGCGCGGGGAATGGATCAAATGGAAGTGGTTTTCCTTCGATTCCACTCCTATGTTGTTCCATTTTGCTTTGGACGGCGCAGCGTATGAGGAAGAGGGCCCAGGCAAATGGAACAAAGGAGGACGGAGACGACGACTCCAACGGAAAAGCCCGACTCGAACGGAAAAGCCTCTCACACACGCCGACAGGGTCGGCGGATTTGTGCTTTGTGTTGTGTCCCCCCCTCTGGCTATCACCATGGAGCCGCTTGCTGCCATGCTTGTCCTTGTGTGCACGCCAAGCTCTGAGCGCATCCACTGTCCTTCCTCAGTGCTTGTGTTCTGCCGTGCTTCTCTTCTGGTCAGCCTGTCTTCGTGCCGCGCGCAGAAGGATATATTGGAGCCGGAGGGCGACACGGAATTCAGGTAGGATGGCGTCTCGCATGAGCTCTGGCGCGCGCATGTGGTCAGAGGGCAGCGCGGTGCGCGGGACATCGGCGCAGTCACCAGCGCGAACCGAGCAGCTACAGCGGCCCGGCTGCCCGCTGCGGGTGGTTGTTCTTGCCGCTCATTATTCTGATCCTCATCCAGTAGTTCTCATAGGGCACCTCACTCGTGATTAACAGGTCGCACAAGTAATTTGCTCTTCCGAGCAGAGGACGTGTGAGCATCTATGTCAGAAATCACCTTTTGTCAACAGAGTCCTTAACGTATTGTTCAATCCAAATGGCGGGCGGGACATAACGGTCAGCGTTCTGTGCAGTTCACTCGGGCTGGCGGTGTTGCTCATGTGGGAGATTGGGTGGATACGCATATCGCATGGACATCAGCGCATCCGCCCGCCTCGATTTCTGTGGCGCGTGAATCTTAATATCGATGTGAGGACGCCTCGCTATTAGCCAGAGTTACCTTTCAATTGCGAGTCGGGCTCCCCTCAAAAGCGCTGATGCTTTTGAATGAGTTGTGGCTGGTACTACCAAGGAGTTCGATTCTTGATGCTTCGCGTATTCCCACCAGCCCAACCAGAAACGATGCCCAGGCGAGTTGTCTTGATCAGATTAGTGTAGGAGCACATAGTGGAACAAAGAGGCGGGGGGGGGGGCAGCCGTCAAACTCAAGCTCGGGATTTGCCTGAGCAGACCCAGGAGTCAACTCTTGTAGCTTAGTTGGGCCAGCTTGGTGCCCTTTTTGGGTAAGTGGGGAAAGGCGTCTAAGGCCCTCTTCGGGTTCTCTTTGAGCCCTCTTGGGGCGAGCGTTCTGCCTGAGGGGCCTCCCCGACAATCTGGGCGCGGACGGGCCCTTGCAATGCCACTGGTCGACACGGCCCAAGTTGCGATACCTGCCACCTCGCCGTGATCATGGGGCTCTGACAAGAGACCCGTGCGACTTTTGCCAACAGGATGCGTTCTGCTTCAGATGTCCCGACAATGTGGGCGCGAACGGGCGCGTGCAATGCCCTTGGTCGACACCCGTTTTGGGGAAGTCCTGGATCTTGGGAGTCAGATCCAGCGTTCGAGGAACCGTTACGCTGGGAGCGCAGATCCATCGTTTGACGGGAAGCGTGAACCGGTGTGGGGATTAAGATCAGAGCAGTCCTATTGCCAGGTCATGGGGTGATAGCCGAATAATGGGAAACACGAAGCGATTCACGTTTGGATCTGGAGAATTGAAGGTCGGGAAGGGGAGGAGCGTCCGATCGCCAGAATAACTCATGCTCGGTCCGAGTCGTCAAAACCCACCGTGAGATGTATCAAGGTTGTGGACGTCTTGAACTGTTCGGCCCGATACCCCTTCTTTTTGGGGTACTCGATCAGGGCCCCCTTCTAAGCACAACCATCCCGGCCTTCGTGTCAAAGCCGAATACCGCCCAATAGTGCCCGAAGGTTGCTGACGGACCGCCGATGGCCGCTGGGCGACGATGTGCCCATGAATGAACGCGTAGCCTCTTCCCAGGGGGCATCAGAGGACCGCCGTTCTTGGGCGCCCGAGTGGGCGAGCCCTCGCCGCATTCTAGAGGAGGAGAAAGGAGGAGGCAGAGGAGGAGGTACCTCCCTTCCATCGCCAAAATACACCGATATCCACAACTTCCGAGTCGTGCTCTGGGATCTCGAGGAGCAGAGAGAGGAGGAGGAGGAGGAGGAGGAGGAGGAGGAGCACCGGGACTCATCAACGATGTTGGAATAATTCCTCCCTCCAAGCTTTCTCTTCAGAGGTCCTTCTAAGGGTTCACTTCCACTGATGGAACTGCCTCTTTGGGAGACAACTGTTTGAGGACCCTGAAGCGTGCCAAAACGCCATTCACGGGACTCCAAGGCCACGAGTCAACATGACTATTGCATTTTGACGATCTGGAATCTTGCCAGAACGCCATCCTTGGGACCTCAACGCGGCGAATCAACGTGTCTGTTGCTCCCTCACAATCCCGAGTCCTTCGAAAACACTGTTTCTGTCACGTTGACCATGGGAATTCGTGAATCGCTTGCATAAAACGAAAGTGTGCGGTGCTAAGGCAAGAGCTACATTTTGCAAATGACCCGCCCTCAATCCGTTGAGGTTTGCAAACTTTGAAAACGAATGTGCGCGGCGCTAAGGCGAGAGCCACATTTTGAAACGACCCGCCTTCAATCCGTGAAGCTTTTGCAACATGTTTAAAACAAATGTGCTCGGCGCTGAGACGAGAGCCGCATTTCGAAAACGACCCGCCCTCAATCCGTGAAGCGCTTGCAATTTTTGTTCAACGACTGTGCGCGGCGCGAAGGCGAGAGCCACATTTTGAAAACGACCCGCCCTCCATCTGTGAAACAGTTACCAATTTTGAACGGTCAGCTTCAGGGTCGTCAATTGTGAGACTGTCTCAGGCGAAACGCCCGGCCCGCCCTTTCGACCGGCCTCGGGGTGCGAATGGAGGAGGAAGAGGAGGAGGAGGAGGATACACATGTGACGAACAACAACATAGGGCATGAACATACACTTTCGGAGGCCTGCGCGGATTTCTTGGATCGTGACTGGACCCGCCTGAAGGCGCGTCCGACGCCGTCCCTGGCGCGTTCCGCGCGCCAGGGAAGCGGGTCCATCGCCGAACTAAGAAGTTCGCGCGGATCCTCGAAAATTTGCGTTTATTCATGTTCTGTTTTTTCTACTTTTCCCCCTCCCCTCTTTCCCTTGTTTTGAGCTCGTGCGCCCCCTTTCTTCCCGGGAATGGAGATCATGGCGACGAATCGGGCTGCGCTGCGAGTGCGCTTTTTTCACCAGGTGCTCAATCACTGGGTGCGCTTCGCAGCCCAGGTCAGCCCGGGGGCGCGAAGATAATGGCATTCCGCCCGTCGCGGTCACGGCTGTTGAGCTGCCCTTCTCGAGGCGGCGACGCGAGGGCACGAAGATAGCCGCGCGTCGCGCCTCGCGGGGCGCGATGCGCGTCGGTTCGGTGAGACCCATAGGTAGCGCTGCGTGAGCCAGGCAACACGTAGTTAACCCAGGGCTTTCCCGCGGTGTCTGGGGCCCCAGCTGGAGAGGAGGAGTACAAGGAGCAGATGGAGCGGAGAGGGAGCAGGAGATACAGTCAGTGGAGTAATTTGCTAGTGAGAATGAGGGCGAGTTGTGCTCGTCTGCTTTAGTTGAGGCCGTGTTTGAGGCGCGGCTCGCTCTAGCTGCCCTCCCCTCTCATGTGACAGCGGGCAAACCTGCGCGAGGGCCATGAGCACTCACGAAAGGAGGCGCTCGCCTGTGGCATCGACCAAGCTGCGCCTTGTCGGCATGAGCGGGTGAAACACTTCCCCATTGAAGGCTGTAGCAGAGATCGTGGGTGGTTGGAACTTCTTCTCTCGTAGGACGTAAGGGCTGGAACGCATTCGTTTTGTTGGCATGGGAGGCTGAAACACTTTCTTGAGGGCTTGAGCCCACGCCGTGGGCGGCTGAAACGGCTGAAACGTTTTTCCGCAGGCAAAATTCAGGGCTGGAGCGCACTCGCCCTGTCGGCATGAGCGACTGCGTCATTTCCTCTTGTGAAATGAGGGCTGGAGCCGTACCCCGCTCAGGGCTGTAAAGACGTGAATGGAATGGGGGGAGGGGGAGGGCACGGGCCCAGGGGCGGGGTCCCTAATTCCTAGCAGTGTATCCACGCCTCGCTCGCAAAGGGGGGCAGTCCGCCCGCGCTCGTGCGCGTGCGGTCGGTCGGTCGGTCTGGTCGTCGGCGTCGGTCGTCGTCGTCTGCGTCGGTCGGTCGGTCGTCGTCGGTCATCGTCGTCTCGATCGGTCGGTGGTTCGGTCGGGTCGTTGGTCCGTCGTCGTCGTTGGTCGTCGTCGTCTCGGTGGGTCGGTCTGTCGGTCGGTTAGGTCGTCGGTCGTCGGTCGGTCGGTCGTCGTCTTTTTGGTCGTCGTCGTCGTCGGTCGTCGTCGTCTCGGTCGGTCGGTCGGTCCCGTCGTCGGCATCGGTTGGTCGGTTCATCGGTCGTCGTCGTCGTCGGTCGTCGTCGTCTCGGTCGGTCGGCCGCTGCTTTGCTGGAGCCGACACACCATGGCGCACTTTGCAGTCGCCCTGCTGGAGCCAAAGAGGCTAGGGACGCAACGAGGTTCAGAACATGGCGCTGGACCCGGAACATTCCCCATAAGATATGCTCATCCAAATTTCACCACCAAGAATAGTCCACTGACTGCGGGGAAGGATGAGGGAGGGAGGGCGGAGGAAAGAGAGAGGGAGCAGGAGAGGGAAGTAAGAGGAGGAGGAGGAGGAGGAGGAGGAGGAGGATGAGGAGGAGGAGGAGGAGGAACTCAAGCTGCGCGCCGTCAAGTGTGCCCTGGCTCGCAGCCCGGGTCGCCCAGGGCGGTGGCTCGCGGCGATGGGGCCCTGGAGGAGTTGCGCGCCGCGCCGCCGAAACGGTGTTCGGCTGCGTCCAAGAGGGGGTTGAGGACCAGGGGGGGTTTGTGTGTGTGCGTGTGTGGATAGCATGGCCATGGCCTAGATCTCCTTCTTCTTTCAACGCGTTCCCTGGCCCCCCTCGTCCGCGCACATACCTCGGGCCATGGTTAGCTAACCCCCCTTTTCCACGCACCGCTCCTAGACGTCCTGCAGGGACGGTGTGCGGTCTTGCGCGGGCGGCTGGAATCACGCTGGGAACCTGGAGGCTGGTGGTCTGGAGGTTGTCGGGCGTCTTCGTGGGTTCCCGGACTTCTTCTGGCCTCCGGATGCCTTCCAGCTGCTACGGCGTTCCGGGGGCGCCGGGATCGTCCCCAGAACGGCCGTCGGAGAGCCGAGGTACGCCCCGAAAGCCACGGGCCCCGGGCCCCGGCACGGGGCCCGGCGGGGCGGGAGCAGCAGCGACCTCCGACCGCCCAGTCATCGCCCATCGGGGCCTCGGCCTCCCGGCCCGCCCAAGGGCCCAGCCCGCCGAGAGCATTCTGGGGCCTCCTCTCCTCCTGGTCCTCCTCTCGCTCCTCCTGCTCCTATCTCGGCGATCACGGGCGAACGCTGCCCCTGCGGGTCCCATCGATGCCAGGGTGTGTCAGGCACTCCCGCTGGGGTTCACTTGACTGCAGACTTGCTTCGAGCCCTGAATCCCAGCTGGCGCTTCCAACATCTAACCTAAACGGATCTGGCCCACCCGCCTCTCCCGCTCCTCCCGCTCCTCCTGCTCCTTCTGCTCATGCTGCTTCTCTTCAGCGCTCCCGGCGCCAGGAGATGCGCGGCAGCCCGTGGCCGCGGAGTCTCCGCATGCCTTGCGGGCCTGCTGCTCCTGCTGCGATGGCTCGGGGCGTCGCTGGAGGCGTTCGCCGGCGGGCGAGGCGCGCGCAGGGGAGGAGCAAACAGGCACAGGCACAGGCGTTCGTCGGCGGGCGGTCTTCCCGCCTCGAGATGATTTCAAGCAGCTGTGCCTCGCCGACGAGAGCTTTCCACGGGTGCCCGAATCGTTCCGAACGGCCGCTGGAGTCCCAAGTTCCGACCCCGAACCACCAGGTGTCGAGGGGTAGCCGTGGTCTGAGAGGTGCCCCATGGAGGACCAGGGAAACTAGAACGCGGCCAGGCCGAGCGCCACTTGGATGGACCGCGCGCTTGCTAAATCTTATGTAGGATGCACACGGTTGCCTACATTGTAGTATATCCATCATAACGTAGTTGCAACTGTCACCAACCTTGGCACAACTATGCGATACGCTCGCTGGCGCTTATAAACCTTTCGCACACTCAATGAAGTAGTTGCGAACCGCTGCGAAACGTTGATTCAAGCGCTAATTGGTTACCACCGTTTGCGACGCGTTCCCCCCAATCGGAGTCAAGGTTGTAGCCTACTTGCCACGCGTGTAGCCAATCTGTTAGCTAACCAAAGGCAAAGTACGTTAAGCGGATTAACAAAGCTGGTTAGTAAGGCCAGCTAAGTGGGTTAGCTAAGCTAGCTGAGCCACGGCGGCAAGGAAGGGACTTGGGTGCCCCTCGCGCCTACGAGCTAGATTTTGAAATCGAGCCGCCTTCCATCTGCGCACTGCAAGCCTCTTACATTGAAAAGCGAAGCGCCCGATCGGCGCACAGGAGACCCTCGGAGCACATTTTGTCCTCCCGAAGGTCTTTCGATTGAGGGGGAGGAGTTGTTTTTTTTTCTGCGCACGCACGCCCCTGAATGCTGGTTACATTGAAAGGGAAGCGCCCCATCGGCGCACAGTAGGCCCTTGAAGCCATTAGTAGAGCCCACAGGAAGCCCCATGGGCAGGCCCGTCAACACTTGAAAAAACATTCCGCCTTCGATCGGCGCAACAGCGCGGCAGCGGAGTCGCAGCCTTTTGAGCCCGAAGATTTTTGCATCCGCCCGAACTCACGCAAATACTGCATCTCTGACTTCTGAATGACGGCAGTAGAACTGGCCATCCGGGCAATGTCGGGTTGCCCCAACTTGCGTCCACTAGTTGCCCCCTTTCCTCCCTTGTTCGCCCCTATATCCCCCCTCCCCCCTTTCCCGCCCCCAGCGCGCAGATTGGGAACGCGCGCTGGGAGGGGGGAGGAGGGAGAGGGAGAGATGAACAAATAACGGTGGTGTATGGAGGATGGAAGGGAGGGCTAGTGGATGTAAAATCGGGGGTTACCGCGCAGGCAGTTGAAACAGAGGTGACGTCACATTTGGTTAGGTACGACGAGGATGGTCAGATCGGCAGAACATTTGAAGCGATATGGGGTTCCTTGAGCAAGCATCCATGCCTGGTCTGGTCGCAGTCTATGCTCCCAGATTTCGTCGGGGCTGTAACTTCGAACAGAAGCGGGTCTGGCATTTCGGTTCAGAAGTCGCTCGGTAATGCGAAGGAACACTTGTCTTCAGGCTGGAGCTTGAAGAAGGCGAATTCGGCGCATATGCAGCCCAGGCGAAGCCAACGACAGACTACCATCGTGACACATACTTGTTCAACATGAAGCTTTCTCGCACCCAGGGGCTCCCTAAACAAGACGACGTCAGGATTGTGTCATTCAGTGGCACTCATTCAAACGTGTGGTTGCGATGTGTGAAAAATGAACTTCCCTGTCAGATCCTTGAGATTGCGCCGGAAGAGGTCATCGACAAAGCCACGTTGTGTTCGAAACATCTTCAATTGGAGGAAGCAGCTTTTACAGGCCTCACGTGGAACATTGTATCGCAAGATGTTGTTATGAAATGGCCGTCTCTGCTTGATTTGTTCCAGCGGGCAACAAACGCACGTGGCACTTCAGAGATCAGCGAACTCGAAGGTTTACTCCAGATGAGGTCGGCGTACGAAGCAGCAGTTTCAAATGGCATGTCAACAGAGGCTGCGTGGAAGCACGCCGTAGCAGAGTCAGTGAACACAAAACCTTTCTGGGGGGCATGGGCAAGATCGCTTCCGAAGTTCTGCTCGAAGGCGACGCTTGACCAACTTCCGGAGGCAAAGGGCATGCTCGCTGCATTGATCAAGGTTCCGCAGTCGGCGCCAGTCTCCCATGGCCATTGCGGCGGGGCCTTCATAGATAAGCTCGGGGCGCTGCAATGGCACGGCGTGGTCCAGCCAGCCAGAGTTCGCACGGCGGCATGCTTCGCGAATTGCCGCAGCCCTCCCGACAAGGTCGTGGATGGCAAGTGCATTCTCTTGAAGGATGGTGACTTGTCCAAGCAGCCGGCGAAAGGGAACATTCATCTGGTTGGTGACTCCATCTTTCCGCCGTTGCCGATGCTGCCCCTCCTTCCATCCTTAACCTCCCCCCCAGCCCATTTTGTTCAGGTTTTCGAGGTCGAGCCCGTGGTGACCATGGCCCGCGAGATGCTGCAGACACACGGCGTCGGTGCAACATTCAGGCCAGGCATGTTATGCCGCTTTGACACGTCTTTTCTCTACCACATTTTGAAGGAGGGGAAATTGTCTATCGATCGGAAGGAATACGGATCCCTCGCAGAAGTAGCTGACCCATTTGTCTTCAGTCTCAATACCTTAACGCACAGGCCGCCCGACCATTCACCTGTTCCCAATCCGTGGGTCACGGGCCCCAAACAGGGCGTCTGAATCAAGCTGTCGGATGTCATGCCAACTGCCGCGGCCAGAGCTTCGGGGGGCGGCCCAGCAAGCTCCGCAGGCTAGGTTTCGGCGAGCGGCCCAGCAGGCGGCACCCATGCGCAGTCCCTTGATCAAGTGAAGTCCCCAAGTTGCCAGATGAAGCTTCTCGGGTTCACGGAGGAGGCCGCGCGCAAGTTGGAGAAGCTTCCAGAACAGGCAACCCGAGGCTAATAGGGCGGTCCAGAATGTGTGCACTGGGTGATTAGCTCGATGGGCGACAACGCGGCAGTGTTGAGCCCGACTGGCGTTCACGCTGGAGGCAAGTCTCAGATTGTTCCGCCGGCGTGCTTGAAAGAGAAGCGGACTGTGACAAGCGCCAAGTTGCAGGTCGTTGTCGACATCAGGCAATCGCACCCTCATAAGATATCGTCTTGGGCAACGGAGATCGTGCGATGCCAGATCATCTTGGCGTTGGATGCTCTATCTGAGTCGGAGCACAATGGCCACGTCGACATTTTGGATGTGTTTCAGAACCCACCTGCCGTGAAATCCCTGAGGGGGTTCAGGCCGCGCGAGCTTGTTCTCGCCCCCCTTGCCAAATTTGTCAAGGACCGCAAGGAGAGCAAATCTCTCGACAAGGGGATCGACTGGGGCCTCTCATTTTGAACCCGACCACTGGCTTCTCGTTGCAGCCGCACTTCGCGCGCGGGAAGGCGGCTGCGCAGGATTTCACCCCTCCGTGCTGGTCAGCGCCGTCATCCGCTGGCGCTGCATTCAACGCGCAGCAGGTCTGCACGGCCTTCACTGCGCAGGTTCAGTCGGGGGGCGGGAGCGGGCCCAAAGAAGTCAGCATCAATATCCAAGTGCTGGTTACAAATGCAAGATTGCCCGTGGCGCCTTTTTAACGATTGCGAACCCGTCAGCGAAGCCCGCCTCTAAGAAGGCAAAGACTTCGAAGTGGCGGCGCAGCTGCTAGAAGGCGCGTCGGGGAGATGAGGATGAGAAGGGCTGGGCGAGCAAGGATGGGGATGGGGGCATGGGAGAGGAGGAATGAGGATAAGGATTGGGATGATGACGCGGGAGACATAACACCGCCTGTTGCGCGCGTAGGGCTCGCGAGTGCAGGGGGCCTTTGAGAGCTGCAGATTTGCTGATGATAGCTCGTTCGGTTCCAGGGGCCTTGTCGGTCCGCGCTCGCACCTCTGTTTTCATCTGACGACAACGGTTTGCGAGCCTCCTTTTTTGCGCATGTCCGTGCAGGCCCGAGCCCCCGTGCGCGCCCGACCTCTCGACCCCCCCCCCCCCCCCTTGCCTGCCAACAGATCTACGCGCGCGCCCTTCGGCAAGCGTCGCAGCGGGTTCGACCGCCAGGAAGACATACTAAGACAGGGGGGCGTGCAGACGAGCCCTCGCGGAGCGATGCGTAAAACATGGATTGTTCCAGGGAGGGCCCCATTCCCGAAATGCATGAAACCCTCGCGGGTTCCAGAGAGCTGCTGCGCACAATCCGCGGCTTTCAGTCTTTCCATCGGGATTTGTGCCATTGAATGACAACTCTGTTAAAATCACTTTCAGCGTCGACGTCGTCGTCGCGCCCTCCCCTTCCGCGATACTCTTTGCCCCCAGCCCCCTCCCCATCCCTCTCCACTTACCCGGCCTGCGCCGCAGCGTCTGGGGCGCCATGCTGAGGGGGGGAGAGAAAAGAAGGAGGAGGAGGGGGGGGGAGAGGGGCAACAGCAACAGCAGCAAAGGCAGCAGCAGCAAGAGAAGAGAAACTCCCGTCTTTCCCTCGCAGGAGGGCCTGCCTGGTCAGAGCTGCGAACAGGGATGTTGTCGGGGCTTGTTTCAGAGGCGCTTCGTTGGCTTGCTCCTGTTTGCGCAGGCAGCCGCCGCCGCGGGCGCCATCAACCATGGACTTGCGAGCGGTTACCGATGTTGCTCACCCTTGTCCCCAGAAGTCAGATGCCATGTTGGGTTGCATTTGAAATGGCACCCCCTCGCTCGGATCGTTGCGCTACAAATGCGCCTGTTGTTGCCCCAAAGCGATCGCAACACGTTGGCCGCAAACAGTATTGCCTTGCAGTCTTCTGCAGCACGTCGCTGCCGTGGATTCGCGGGCCCTCTCGGGGCCCTCTTGGAGCCGTCTCGGGACCCTCGCGGGGCCCTCTTGGAGCCGCCTTGGAGCCGCCCGGGGAGTCCACGAGGGCCCGGAGAGGTTCCCGGGATGGCCCGGGGGCAAGATGCGCGGAAGGGTTTGCGAGCATTTTGCTCTGGGGCCCTCTTGGGGCCCTCCTGGAGCC